CGGCCACCGTGTCTGCGGATTATAGCTGCTACTGCCCTTCTAGTCAGGGATGCAGATAAATTGACATTAGGGCAAGAACTGCACATCACCACTCCTCGTGCTATTGAAGGAGTTCTTAAGCAGCCACCCGACCGCTGGTTGAGCAATGCCCAAATAACCCATTATTAGAGCTTACTTCTTAACCTTCTGAGAATTCGGTTCCTCCCAAGCACCGCCCTTAACCTAGCCACCCTGCTGCCTGACCCGACTTGGATGTGCCCGTGCAGGATTGCACAGGCATCCTGAGCCAGGTACATGGGCTCAGAAACGACCTGACTGATCGGCCACTCTCCAATGCAGAAGCTACTTGGTTCACTGATGGAAGCAATTTCATGAAGGATGGGCAGAGGTATGCAGGGGTGGCAGTGGTAACTGAGACTGAGACTGTTTGGGCAGCGGCTTTGCCTGCGGGAACCTTGGCTCAGAGGGCCGAACTGATAGCTCTGAGGCCCTTAGTCTTGGAAAGAACAGGCGATTGAATGTGTACACAGACAGCCGATATGCCTTTGCTACGGCACATGTGCATGGAGCCATCTACCAGGAAAGGGGGCTTCTCACAGCAGAGGGAAAAGCTATTAAAAATAAACAAGAAGTTCTTGGCTTGTTGGTGGCTTGGCAGCTCTATGGCTGCCTAAGAAGTCAGCTATTATCCACTGCCCTGGGCACCAGAAAGCTAAAACGCCCATAGCTCGGAGAAATCAGAGAGCAGACCGGGTTGCCAAAGATGTAGCTCTGGAGGCCTTCCAGATTTTGCCAATCCAGCTGCCAGATCCCACCCCCCCATCCTACCTGATCAGCTTCACTATTCCCAAGAGGATATAAAACTGATACACAAACTTCCCATGACCCAAAAGATCGAGGCTTGGTGGCATACAGGCGACTGTAGAATTATTCTGCCAAATGACTTGGCCAAAGACCTCCTCACACACATCCACCGAACCACTCACCTGGGTACAAGGAAAACAGCTGAACTCTTAAGAAATGCTCACTTAAATATCTTCAATCTCCACCCACTGGTTAATACAGTCTCCTCTGCATGCCTTAGTTGCAAGCTGACCAATGCTGAAATCCATCCTAAGGAAAAAGGGGCTTGAATGAGGGGCTCTAGACCAGGGGCCCACTGGGAGATGGACTTTACAGAAGTTAAGTCAGGCAAGTATGGGTACAAATATCTACTAGTTCTGGTAGACACCTTTTCAGGATGGACTGATGCCTTCCCCACCAAGCATGAGACTGTTCAGGTGGTAGCCAAGAAATTGCTGGAGGATAGCTTACCCAGGTATGGCATCCCAGCCCTTCTGAGTGCCAACAACGGGCCAGCCTTTCATCACAGGTAACCCAGGAATTAGCTAGGATATTGGGGGCAAGATGGAAATTACATTGTGCGTACAGGCCCCAGAACGCAGGACAGGTAGAGAGGATGAATGGGACTCTAAAAGAGACCCTTACCAAATTAACCATGGACACTGGCAGGGACTGGGTGGCTCTCCTTCCCTTTGCCCTGTATAGGGTGAGGAACTCACCCTATCTGCTAGGACTGACCCCCTATGAAATCATGTTTGGAAGACCCCCCCATCCTCCCCAGTCTAAGAACTGAACTAATTGCTGAATTTGATAACCTACAGTTGCTTCATTCTCTAGAAGCGGTGGCTCGGGTGCATAGGGATGTATGGTCCCGGCTGAAAGCTATCTATGAGACTGCTCCCCCTCCTACCTCGCACAACTACCAGCCTGGCGATTGGGTCTATGTCTGTAGACACCATAGACACCACCAAGAGACCTTGGAACCTCGCTGGAAAGGATCGTACGTAGTGCTCCTGACAACCCCAACGGCGGTGAAGGTAGATGGAGTTGCCACCTGGATCCATCACACTCATGTCCGACTAGCAAGTTCCTACCCAGACCCAGACAACCATCACCCTCCGTAGACCTCTACGCTGGATCCAACAACATGGAAAGTCCACAAGAACGTAGACAATCCCCTCAAGCTAAGGCTGTGCCGCTCTTGATGTTTACTCTGCTGTTTGGAATGAATGTATGTATAACTGCTAACCCTCATCAACCTTACAGTCTCACCTGGCAGCTCCTAGACACCCCTACTGGAGACATCCTGGTCCAGACATCCAAGATCGCCCTGCTAAACACCTGGCATCCAGAGCTAGGCTTCGATCTCCAATGCTTACCCCCCAGACAGAGGTATGGGGGGCTATGTCATGCTCATTACTATGTCTGTCCTGGGAGCAGAGGTAGAGACTGGGGAAAACAATGTGGGGGAACCAGTGATTATTTTTGTAAACCCTGGGACTGTGTGAGTACAGGGGACATCTACTGGACAGCCCCCGTTAAAGATGATCTTATCAAGGTTGTCCGTAACAACACCCCTGATGCCATCCATTTATTGCGGGCAGAAAGTTAGAACATGTCCTACGAAAACAGGCTGCAACCCTGTTAAGGTGGTGTTTACTGATGCAGGAAAAAGAGACACCACCTGGGAGGTAGGAAAAACGTGGGGATTGAGAACTCTCAACCCAAGCCCCAGGGCCGGGGGGGGGTCCTTCAGTATCATTCTCAGAAAGGAAACCCCCACCTCACTGGTACCCCAAGGTGTTGACCCCCACCTGGTTTTAGTACTCCTAGAATCCAACCCCAGCCCTAAGCCCCCACCCCTGAGGGAAAGTACAACAGTCTTTCAGAGAGCAGCAGTAGTTGCGGGGACACCTACAGCTTCACCCTCAGACCACCCTATTTGGCCACTGATCACCTCCACTTTCGAGGTGCTCAATGCCTCCAAGCTGGACCTAACTGTAGAGTGCTGGCTTTGTCTGAGTGCTCAGCTGCCCTTCTATGTGGGCATAGCTGTAGTAGGTAATTACTCCCGAGTTAGTAGTAACCAATGCACCTGGGGACAGCAGTAACTGGGGCAGGGAACTGTGCCCTGCCCCCTGGTGCCCATGTACCCTCAGGGCTATGTAACCACGTAGTCTCTGTTTCAAATGGTACTTATTACTCTGCCACTTCTGGATGGTGGGCCTGCTCTACTGGTTTGACCCCCTGCAGTCATGGGACTGTCCTGAATAACATAAAAGGTTACTGTGTCATGGTACAGCTATTCCCCAAGATGACTTACTATGGGGACACCCAGATGGAGCTAGCCTACACACCCCTTTCTGCCCTCAGAACTAAGAGAGCCATAGGGACTGCAGCCATTTTGTTATCCTCCTTAATTGGTCTAGGTATAGCAGAGTGACCGGAGTGGGCACCTCGGCCTTAATTTTACAGGACCAAAACTACAGAGCTCTCCAGGTAGCGATTGACGATTGACGCAGACCTCAGGAGTCTGGAACAGTCTGTAACTAAATTAGAACAATCCCTAAACTCACTAGCAGAGGTCACCTTACAGAATAGAAGAGGTCTTGACCTCCTTCTTATGCAACAAGGGGCCTTGTGTGCAGCCCTAAAAGAAGAATGTTGCTTTTCTGCTAACCACTCTGGGGTGATGAGAGATTCTATGGCTCTGCTCGGGAAAAGTATCAAGGATAGAGAACAAAAGGACCCCGGATGGTACGAGCAACTGTTTAATTGGTCTCCCTGGCTCACCACCTTAGTCTCCACCTTAGCTGGACCTATAACCCTCCTTCTGTTAATAATAACTATTGGGCCATGTATCGTCAATCGGCTGGTTGCCTTCATTAAAGAACGAGTGAGTACAGTACAACTCACGGTCCTGAGGTCCCAGTATCAGCCCTTAGAACCCCTATCAGGGACCCCAACCTAGACCCATGATTGGGTCTTCTCTAAGTTACAAGGAGAGGGGGAAATGTGAAACCCTCCTCTGTGGCCCCCTGCCATGGACTCCTGAGACCCCCCTTGTCCCTCTTTAGGAATAATGGCTCTTTCTGTAAACTGCTTGATTGCTAGGCTGAGAGGACAAACTGCACTGACCCCATTTTGACTAGTTGCTTCAGGCAAGCCTGGACCTGTCCAGGCATGTTATAATCTCTGCCCACTACCCCCACCCCAGGAGGCTATAGATCAAGGAGGCCCAGGCATATAGCAGCCTTATAAGGTAAGAACAGAGACTTCTGGCCTCACAGATAACAGTCAGCACATTCTATAGCTCCGAGGGTAACACCCCCCAATGAGAAACCTCCAGGACTTTATCCCTTGTAACCAATCAATTCAAAAGTGTGTTGGCTCCTGCGGGCTCGGACCAATCAAGATGTAACTGTTATTCCCCTCCTGCCTTGGTCTAAAACCTATAAAAGGCTTCCTCCCCTGCGATCAGGGCTCTCAGCACAGATCCATTACGTTGGTGAGGTCTGAGAGCCCAAGCTTAAGCCCAAATAAAGACTTTGTTCATGCATGCCCTCTGGATTCTGTGGTTATTCTTGGGGGTCTGATCTCTGGGCACAACAGTGGCTTGGCTCTTAAGAGTACTGGCTGCTCTTGCTGAGGACCTGGGTTCGAATCCCAGCACCCACACCCCTGAAACTCCAGTTCTGGGGGAATCCAACGCCCTCTTCTGGTCTCTGTGGCACTGCACGACATAGTCACACATACTTTCAGGCAACACACTCCCACACATAAAGTTTAAAAATATTTTTTTTTGGTCTTTTTGAGATAGGGACTCCCTAAGGCCCCAGCTGGCCTGGAACTCACTATGTAGACCAGGTTGGCGTTGAACTCACAGAAATCCGCCTGTCTTTGCCTGGAGTGCGGGGATTAAAGGCTTGACGCCACCACGCCCAGCTAAAATAATACATTTTTGTTGTCTTTTTTTTTTATTTTTGGCGCTGAGGCTTGAAGCAGAGCCTTAGGCATAAAATGAAATTTTAAACATATTAAAAAAGACGTAGACTACGCATCCTCATGCCAAGTAGAGGCTTCTGGAAAGCAAGAGGTAACCTCAACACAAGCTCCACCCTGTGCCCTAAAGCTGCCCCCATCCACAGGCTCAGGTCCTTCTACTTTAGTCTGGGCGGGAGAGCGAGCGCAAGAGCTCTTGGGAGAAATTTGGCTCAGCAGCAGTTGATTAGTCAGGCCTGAGGAAGATGGCGTCCTCGGAGCAGTCCGAGCAGCCGAGCCAGGTGAGGGGGAGTGGGGCTACTGGGTCCGGGCAGCGCCGACCGGGGCGCGAGCGGCGCTCGGCGCATAGATGGCATCCGGGTGGGGACCCCCGAGTCGTCCCAGCCGGGGACCCCGACGCCGTCCGTCCCCGGGCCCCGCCCCTCTGCTCGGGTCCTCCCCGCCGGGCTCCTCCCCCGTGACCCCTCGGACCACATTGCCGAGCTGGGGTCTCGGCATGGGCCGCAAGCCACTAGCTACGCGCCCGTCGGCCTCTCGGAGTCCCGCTGGCCTTGGTCTGGGAGGGTGGCGGGCCCGGGGAGGTGCCGCAGCCCGGGCGGGGAGGGCCCCGGGGGGGAGGTGGAGAGGCTCGTGGGTCCCCGGCTGTCCCCTCGGAGAGGGGCCCGGCTCCCAGGGTCCCCCAGCTGCAGCAGCCCTCCAATGGCAGCTCGGGGGCTCCAGGACCTCCGGCGTCCCCTTGGCATGTCGGAGGTGGCAGATTCACCCCTGCCCGCCGAGCGCGGTGGCAGGAAGGGGGGCGTAGGTCTATAACAGACGCCACCAGCTGTGGCCGGGAAGCCTGCCCTCCTTAGGTTTGCTGTTCTGGCCCTCCACCTTCGGATTGAACGGGAAGGTCCAGTGTGGACGGCTTCTGCTGTCAGGAAGCAGTGATGGCAGTGATTTGTCATCTCAAGGTGGGGTGGGATTAGAAGAGGCCAAGGGACCATCCTTTTACTGTCATACAGAGGACACGTTATGTTTACTTTATTGTTACTATTTTTGGTCTTTTTGAGACAGGGTTTCCCTGTAGCCCCAGCTGGTCTGGAACTCACTATGTAGACCAGGCTGGGCTTGAACTCAGAGATCTGCCTGCTTCTGCCTCCATATGCTGGGATTAAAGGCGTGTGCTACCATGCCGCTATTATTTTTTTTAATATGTATGAGTGTCTTGTCTGCATGTCTGTAAGTGCACCTGTATGTGTAGTGCCTGTGGAGAGCAGAAGAGGGCGCTGGAGTCCCTGGAACAGTTGTTAGTGGCCATGTGGGTGCTGGGAATTGGACCCAGTCCTCTGCAAGAGTAGCCAGTGCTCTTAACCACTGAGCCATCATTTCTTCAGCCTCTACACACATTCATTTATACATTTATTTAGTGTGTATATTCACAGGCCTGCCTCCCCTAATGCCCATGCTCACCCTGGATTAGAACTGCTTCTTGGCTGTCATTCAGGTGGTAGAGTGCTTGCCTAGTAGGCACAAACCTGTGGGTTCCATTGCCAATGCTGCATATAGCTGGTGTGGTGGTACACACCTGTAATCACAGCACTGCACTTGATGTGGAGGCAGGAAGACCAGGAGTTGGTTGTCCTTGGCCGAATATCAAGTTTAACACTCCCTGGGAGTGTGTTATGGGGATCAAACTCAGGTCCTCAGGCTTGGCCTTTATTCTTGGAGCCATCTCAGTGGCCCCAAAGAAATGCTTGTTATCTAACTGGCTCTTCCCTTTGTGAGGTGCAGAAGCAGGTACTAACAGTTTGTAATATGCCCCAAATCATTGTGTACCGTTGAGCCCAGATTTCAACACACATTATGTGTACTTCACTAGTTGGCCATCCATGTTTACATTTAATTAGGATAGACCTAGGAAGAAAAAGTGGTTTCCGCCTGGGACCTTACTCATCTCTCACCTCCTTGAAGCACCTTTAAGAGTTTTCATCAGCTCACCAGTATCTCACTTCTTTCCTAGACTATCGCTTAATGTTTCTTTACTGTCAATTACTCATGATAAATCAGTTAGCGGAATTGTACTTAATGGAGTTGGGGCACTTAGAGCAGCCTCTGTTAGCAGTGATTCCGAGTGATGTGTGTATGGTAAACATCAAAAAAAAAAAAATTCAGTGCTGATCCTGGACTTCTCACTGTCCCAGGTTCTGGAGTGTGGGGTGTCTGAGAAGAGCCTCCTTTCTTCCCTTACCCCACTGAGTTTGCTGAAAAAAAGCCCAGGCTCTTCAGGGTCCAAGTTTTTTGGAACTGCTTTAGGAATGCTATAGGCTGGGATTGAAGGGTGTCCAAAGTTCTTGGTTCCGCTAGACATTCAATTTGTCAGTTCTGTGAAGGGTACTGAGACTCTGGCCACTCGGAACCGTTGTCCTGCTGAAAGATTCCTTTGGTTCTGGGGTTGCCCTCTTTGTATGTGTGGGAAGGGGGTCTGAGGTCTTTTAAGGGATTGGTCAACAGGTCTTTGGTTTTCAGTCCTGCTTCTCCTTTGCCCTGCTTTTCAAACTGATAGAGATGAGATTACAGATGAGATTACATCAGAATGTGCCTGGGGAGAGGCTTTAAACCCTTACTGTCAGATTCTACCACTGTCTAACAATAAACAATGGACTGCAAACTCACTATGTAGATCAGGCTGGCCTTGAACTCACAAAGATCCACCTGCCTCTGCCTCCCAAGTGCTGGGACTAAAGGTGTGCGCCACCATGCCCAGCAACATTCTTTTTTTAAAAAAAATGTATATATATATGTCTTTTTGAGACCCTGTAGCCCCAGCTGACCTGGAACTCGCCATGTAGACCAGGCTTGAACTCATAGAGATCCACCTGCCTCTGCCTCTCTCTCCTGGGATTAAAGGCATGTGCCACTACACCTAAATCTTTTTTTTTTTTTTTTAATCTTTTTGAGACAGGGTCTCCGTGTAGCCCCAGCTGTCCTGGAACTATGTCGCCCGGGGTGGCCTTGAACTCAAAGAGCTCCCCCCGCCTCTGCCTCCCAAGTGCTGGGATTAAAGGCATTTGCCACCATGCCCAGCTTACCTAGCTCTTTTTTAAAAAAAATATTGTTTTATGTGTATGCATGTATTGCCTGCATATAAGTGCACCTGTGTCCTGCAATACCCATGAAGGTCAGAAGAGGGTGTTGGATCACCTGGAACTGGAGTTATGGGTAGTGTTAGCTACCATGTGGGTGCTGGGAACTGAACCCAGGTCCTCTGCAAGAGCAGGTGGTGCTTTTAACTGCTGAACCATCTCTCTAGCCCCATACTTTCTCTTTCACAATAGATTTTACTGTGGCTGGCTTAAACATGGGATTTTCTTGCTTCAGCTTCCCAAGTGCTCAGATTACAGGCATTTACCACTGTGCCAGGGTTAAGTGCATTTAAAAAGCATTTATCGAGAACATTTTAGGTAGTCCAGGCTAGCCTTGAACTTGATCTATAGCCAAGGGTGACCTTAATCTTTGGATCCTCAGGACCTTGTGATAAGAATGCACCACCATGCCCAGTTATGTGGAACTGGAGATGGAGTTCAGGGCCTTGCATGTGCTAGTGGACATGCTGCCAACTGAGCTGCTTTGCCAGCATGGTGGTGCATGCTTTTAGTCCCAGCACTCAGTGAATTGGAGGCCAGCCTGGTCTACATAGTGAGTTCCAGGCCAGCTGGGCTACAGGGAGACCCTGCCTCAAGAAGACCAAAAAAAAAAAAAAAAAAAAAAATTTCGTTTGAGACACGGTCTCACCACTTAGCCCTACCTGGCTTGATCTTGCTATTTAGACTGGGCTGGCCTTGAACTCACAGAGATTACCTGCGTCTGCCTCCTGAGTGCTGGGATTAAAGGCTTGTACCACTACACCCGTCTTTTTGTTATTTATTTATTTATTTAATTTATTTTTTTGGTCTTTTTGAGACAGGGTCTTCCTGTAGCCCCAGCTGTCCTGGAACTCACTATGTAGACCAGGCTGGCCTTGAACTCTCAGTGATCCGCCTGCCTCTGCCTCCTGAGTGCTGGGATTAAAGGTGTGTGCCACCACGCCTGGCCCCTATTTTTGTTTTTATTTTTGTGCTGTGGGTGTCCCTGTAGAGGTCAATAAAGTGTTTCCCTTAGCCTTGCTTGACCTTGTTTCTACTTTTATTTCTTATTTCTTTTTGTACCTTATTTTTTGAGGCAGGGTCTCTCACTGAACCTGTAACTCTTGGATTTGGCTAGACCTGGAGTCCCAGGGATCCTCCTGTCTTTGCCTCTCCAGCAATGAGATTATAGGCATATGCCTCTGTGCTTGGCTTTATGTGGGTTCTAGGGGTTGAACTCAGGTCCTCATGCTTGTACAGCAAACATCTTACCTACTAAGCCATCTTTTCAGCCCCTATAAGCATACTTAAATTAAAAAAAATTATTGTCTTATTGTATACGTGCATGTGTGTGTGTGTGCATGCACATGTGTGTGCAGGCATGCCCATGTCACAATGTTCTTATGGGAGTCAGAGGACAACTTTGTGAGTTGGTTCTTTGCTTCCACCTTATATGGTTCTAAGATCAAACTCGGGTCATCAGGCTTTCGTGGCAAGTGCTTTTACCTGCTGAGCCGTCTGGCCGATTCTAAGCGCACTTCTCAGGACGTCTCCTCCTCTAGCATTTGCCTGTCCTTTCATTTTCCCATTTTGTCACTAGAGCAGGGTGGTGTTAAAGGATTGGTGAACAGGTCTCCCAGTCCTGGCAGGTGATAGACCTGTGGGCTGCACCAGTATTTTGTATCTCATAGAAAGTCTGTTAGTTGAACTAGTGGCATCTTTGCTGGTTTTAAGTGATGTGTGAAGAGCCCTTTTCCCTGAGAGGCAGTGTGGAGTGATGGTTACAAGTGTGGGCTCTAAAGTCAGCTCCTCTGGCTTGGAATTCTAGCCCCCTACTCATCAGCTGTGTGATTTTTTTTTTTTTTTTTTCTTTTTCCCTGGTCTTTTTGAAACAGGGTCTCTCTGTAGCTCCACCTGGCCTGGAACCCACTACATAGATCAGGCCTTGAACTCACAGAGACCTGCCTGCCTCTGCCTCCCAGTGCTGGGACTAAAGGTGTGGGCCACCACACCTGGCTCAGCTGTGTGGTCTTTGGCAGGTTACTTAGCTTTTGTTTATTTTGAGAGAGGCCTGGAACTTGCTACATAGATTGGGCTGGCATGGACCTCACAGAGACCCACCTGCCTCTTCTTAGTGTGGGGTTAAAGGTGTGCACCACCGTTCTTGGTCTACTTAA